GTATAATGTATTGTGTACTCTTGAATGGAATGAGAAAGACTCTCTCTTATCAATCCTTTCTTCCTTTGTATGATTCTTCTCTATTTCTTCTTTATTCATACATAGGTTTTATATTTGGATCAAATTAATGTTTAATTAACTTTTATAAAAATAAAAAGTTGTATATTAGTTATTTATAATAAATATGTTTTAATTTTTTTTAATCATTACCTCCATCATTCCTATTATCCATGTAATTAATATGGATGACTCGGATAAAAAGTCAAAAATACAAACTTTAAAGTAAGACTAATTAAAGTTTTATATCTGGAATCAAAACAAACTATCCAATGCGGATTTAGCTGGGTTTCTCCCTATACCACGGCAGGGGCAAAAATCTAGTGGCTATGAAAGTTTAGACGGAGCCATTTTCAATTCCTCACGTGCCTTTTGGATTCTGACTTCTGAAGAGGCTATGCCTGTTCATTCCAATGTCTACACTCTTCACAGCATGACCTGCAAAGTCAATGCTAAAAAGAGTCGTCAAAATTGAATTCTAATTTTAATTACAACCATCTAATCTGATTGATATTTTTTCGTTTGCGGAAAATCAGTTTGACTAATTTAGCTTTTAAAGTAGTACTTCCTCTCTAATTCTAAATCTCTTTTTTTGAATGATAGTACTCCTCCTTCTTTTTTTCATAAATTGCAAACAATCAATTACGTGGATTATAAAAATAATTTAAAATTAACTAAAGATAATAAATATATAAAATCATAATATTTATGATCTTTTTTATAAGACCTAATTTAAAACGGTCTGAAAATTAAATGCATATTCACCAATTTTATTTTTAATTAATTACAATATATTTGTCCTCATCCATTTTTTTCATCTTTTTTCTCAGTATTCTCTCTCTCGCTTGCCTTCTTATAAATACGAGTAACGCCTAAGAGTATATTTGAAAAAAAAAATAAGTATTTTTTTAATTTGTTACTTTAATCAATATTAACAGATTTTTTAAATCACACAATTCGATTAATTGGATTTTACAAAAAAAAATCAGAGGTAGTATTTTTTCCTTCAAACATACGGTTATTTATAAAGAAAATGTACGGGAGAGAAAATGAGTGAAAAGAGAAAAGCTGAGAAAGATATGTAAGTGAGTGGGAATAAAAATGAAAAACATATATTAAAATTTTAGATATGAATTAGCAAAATCCCTCATACATAGGATCATCATAGGATGGGAAGAGGGACGAGACAGGAAATCTACTCATGAAATATTTTACTTTGTGGCTGGACCTATTATAATGGATCTTTTTTGTTGTTGTTTTTTTTTTCTATTTTTAGTTCTTGGGCTAATGCTTTTGAAAGCATTTTTTGTTTGTTTTTATTTCTTTAGACTTAATCCTCTTAAACAAAAGTCCAAATAAATAATAATCAGTAACATAATAATTCTAAATTTTATTTTTACTATTCCAAAAATTATAAGTAATTATAAAAACTCTAAATAAATAATAACTATTCAACTATATATGTGCTAAAAACTACAAATATAACCATTTTGTCTTAAATATTTTATATTTTTAACATTTAATAACTATAATATGATAAAAAAAATTACTACCAGGATGAGATTGGGACGTGATGACCCTGTCTCATGTCTTGCTCCGTCTCGATGCCAATTTCTTTTGCCTCGTCCCGATTTGTCCTATTCCGTCCCAATATGATTGGGACCAGTACGAGCTGGCCGAGACAGACCTATTTTTAACACCACTACTCACACATTTAGAATCAGATCAGACGTTGTTATTTAAATTATTTAGTTTGTATGAGACTATACGTTTCACTATTTTATAATATAGAGCACGTTCATTTAAACTTATAAAAATAAGTAATTTTTTAGCAGTTTAATTTTTGTATGAAAAGTGAATTATTGTTTAGGAATTTAAGAAAACGAATTACATTGTAATAATAATATATGTAGGTTCAAAAATAGTATTATTTACCGACATTTGTGCCATGCTATATTATTTTCATTTATTATTTAAAGAATTACTATTCCAACCTTATAAGTTTATTAATATTGTAAATTAGTAATGTGATAAAAAATATCTGAAAAGTAAAACACTCAGGCTTACAAGACTCAGCCTTCAAAACAGTTTTTTTAATTATAATTTATGAAACACGAGATGTATATGCGGGATAAATTTTATCTTAATTTATATGAAAATATTTATAAACACTTAAAAATACACAAACAAGCCAAATTAGGCTGGTTAGCTTGTTTCCGAACCCTTAACTTTGATAAATGTATTTCTAAACATGTCTTATAACATGTGCATTTTTTAATATATGATCAAGTCAAATTATCCACTCTGTTAACAAGTATATAAGCCCACACATGCTTTTCAAATCCCATCATTTCCAAGTGCATCAGATTTTGAGTGGTTGGTGGCCCCCACCATTACCATATGCATTGGATGGATGTTATCTTCTCTCTTTTTTATCAATACTCTGGCAGTATGGCCCCAGGGCTCCACATCAAGAGGTGACAAGCTCTGAATTGGTTAAAACAATGAAGAGAATTGTAATTAGACTTGTCTTGTATGATAATAATTGGTATTTGGTTGTCCCATCATACATTGGAGAGTTATCCAAAGATAAAATGTTTGACCTCTTATGATATTTCATGTCCAGTAATGTTGTAGAGCTGTTCCCCAGTAAAATTCTTAATAAACTACGTAAAACTTTAAATAAGGCTCTTGTGCTCACCGTTTTTAGTCCTCTAACAGCTTAAACACAATGTATTGTTAACAATACTCATTGTTAGACACCAAGTTCCTTGACTTAACAACCGTGATATTTTAAAATCATTTTAAAAACTTTAAATGTACTTTCATATCATTTTCTTGACTAACATATTAGTTAAATGGTCAAGGATAATTGTCTTAATGGGGATAACATTTTTTTTTTTTTATCATTTTAAAAATTTCATGTGTATTTTTACACAAAAAAACTTTGTTATAATTTGGCTGATCTTTTTTATAGTTTTAAATAACTAATTTACAGATAATAAATAATTAGTTAATATTAGTTAAAAACAATAAATATACTAGAAATATATTTTTGTTTTCAAATATGCTTTTATAATAAATGAGGAGAAAAAGATAAAAGAGAATGTATCAAGAAAATGTGATGAGAGAGAGTAGGACAAATGAGAGAAAATAAATAAGTAAGAGTAAAATTGAAAAAAAAATGTTAAATGTCAAGATGAATCCAAATTGAAATTTACAAAATAGACTACTACTTTCCAAATTTGAAACTTAAATGGAAATGAAGGGAGGATCATATGGACATGGAGGAATATTTCAGAAATAAATTTACATCTTAACCCCCCATTATGAATTTGTGACTGTGTTTCCTGACGCTATCCGCATTTCATACTGATAACTTTTAGCATCATGCAGAGAAAGAAATATACTGATTTTCTGATAGGTGAAAACACTAGGCTGCATGGTTAAGCCTCAGCAATACTATAGCAAGCTTAAAGTGAAGCTCAGGCAAACACCAGAAGACACTCTACTAGATATATTTCGTGCCTTCAGCAACTTACAGATGTTCCATCTCAACATGGGTCAAGATTATTACACTCTTACATTATAACAATATGAGCAAATGCCATGCGGAAAAGCAATAAAATGAACCCTGTGCATTTAACAAGCCAATGTGAAAGGAACAAATCGAAAAGAAAAGGAGAGAAAATTCTTGGAAGTGGCACCAGGGACGGTCCCCAGAAGTTTGGAGAACAATATGCCTATCACTTCTGCTGTCTCAGGCAACATAAACCCAAAGCTTGCACTCATTTCACAAATCCGTGCCATCAACCCAACCTTAACTGCTGACTTGTCAGATTCAATTTCAGAAATATATTTATTGAGAATAGAGAGTAGATAAGCAGAGGACAACAAGCCCCTCTATCTCAATAGAAGGAAACAAAGGAAAAATAGTTGAGTCATCAAGCTTATAGACTACCGATTGCTCAGATACATAAGGAGAGGATACAGAAGAACAGATGGTGTAAGGGTCACATATGCGCGACTGGCGAAATAATATAATAATACACATGGCTGTTTAAAAGAGTTTTCAGGGGTGTGACTGTTGGGAGGATCTGGGAAAGAATGAAAGGAAGAGAGAGCAGAGGAGGGGGCTGGCGAGGGCCTGGAAAGTACCAACAAGGCTCAGCCTTGAATCCTAGAGGCATATCTTTCGGTTTTATTATTCTTTCATCTAGGACTGGGTCTGTGCGCTGGATTGCTACCGAATTCTGAGGTAGATCTCTACATTTCTGATATTTTTCTTTCATTGGTTGGCATCTTAGGAAGGTTTTCCATCATTTTGTAGTTTGAACAGGACTAAACTGGTACCAATAATTACCAGAACGCGGGCGCAGAATTGATAGTCTGGATTGGAAAACAAATTCTCAGTTATGAAGGAGATACTGGGTGTTGAAGGAAGATGAGAAAACTTTTAAGGAGTTTCTAGGGGAGTGAAAGTCTCCACGGCCATGGTGTTGGGAAGGAAAAGCTCTAAATTGGTATTAATGATTGGAGACAAGGACGTCTGCAGAGTTCCAGGAAGCCATCACCAATTATCAGTTCTCCCCAGGGCAACACATTCTGAAAGCAAATAGTCTCCATGCTGCAATGTCTGGATAGTGCATTCCCAAATGAGCATGGTAGTGCTTTTCAGATCTTGAGAGGGAAGTGCTTCATCTCAAATTTCAAGGGATAAAAGCCCCTTCATATAGACCCCATGGCAGGTGAACTAACTCAAGTTTAATAAATAAGCAGTAAGCTGTAATCCCACTCAACTTTATTGAGGAACCCTGGGGGGAATTCACCATATCAAACCAACCATTACCAACTTCGAGGATCTAGTTTCCCCTCGCAATAGTCACTAAAGTCTCTGCAGAGGGGCCTTGATTTCATTTAGCATGATAAAGAGATCTCATCCCCTAGATAACATCGCACACCAACCCATCACGATTACTGTCCTCCATCTTATTCTTGAACTCACTCCAGCTATAACCAGGATCCTTATGCACCTGTTTGTCGCTCATCATATCTCTAATACGTGTTGCATCATCCCATCTTCCCATAGAAGAATACATGTTGGCAAGAAGCACATAAGGGGCAGAATTTTGAGGATTCAGTCGAAAGAGTTCCTCTGCTGCTCTTTTTGCTAATTTTAGGTTAGCATGAATACGACATGAGCTCAGTACAACCTCCCAAATGACAGGGTCATTTTTGCCTGGCATACTATCTAGAATTACTTCTGCTTCATTGAACCGCCCAGCACGACCCAAACAATCTATAATGCAAGTATAGTGATCCACCATTGGCATAATACCATATTTTGCTGCATTGAATTGAAAATTTCAATACCTTCATCAACCAAAGCAGAGTGGCTACATGCTGTTAATACAGCTACAAAAGTAATATCATCAGGCTCTTCACCTGATTGGATCATGTCTTTGTAGAGGCAAACAGCCTCAATACCACATCCATTATGGGCATAACCATGGATCATTGCATTCCAAGTAACAATGTTTTTAAATTGCATCATATTGAAAAAACACCTGGCTCTATCCACAACTCCACATTTACAATACATTTCAATAAGAGAACTCCCTACAAATATGTCATCAACATGGCCAGCTTTTGTGATTTGTGCATGAATCTGCTGTCCTTGCAGTAATGAAGAAAGTTTTGCACATGAATTCAATATGTTGGTATAAGAAAACTTGGAAGGAGTGATGCCAAATTCTCTCATCTGCTTAAAGAAAGAGAAAGCTTCTTGGTCAAGAGAATTGATTGAGCACCCCACTATCATTGAGTTCCAGCAAACAACATCTAGTTCAGGCAGTTTGCTGAATACATGCTTTGCCAACTCCATTTCCCCACACTTTGAATAAACATTGATAAGGCCACTGGCAACATACAGATCATTATATGATCCAAACTTAAGTGAGCATGCATGAACTTGTTTTCCCTCAATAAGAAGTCCTACTTCAGCACATGAAGCAAGAATAATGGACAGAGTAGTCCGATCAGGATGTACACATTGGAACTGCATTTTTCGAAACAATTCAACTGCCTCTTTCTGACATGCATTTTGGGTGTAGCCTGAGAGCATAGCATTCCATGAAGTCAAACTTGGGCATGGCATGCTGTCAAATATATAACGCCCAGTACTAATATCCCCAGACTTGATGCATGCTGTTAGCATATTAATATAAGTAACATCATCTGGTTCAAATCCATATGACTCCATTCTTTGCAGATATTCTAGAGCTTTCTCACTATTGCACACATTTCCATATCCAGCGATCATTATATTCCAAGAAACAATGCTCAGTTGAGGCAAATTAGCAAAGATACTTTCAGCACTATTCATGTCTCCACTTTTTGCATACATATCAAGCAGTGAATTGCTCAAATGGAGGTCTCCTTCAAAACCTAGTTTAATTGACAGCACATGTATTTCTTTGCCCTGAAAAATTCGTGAGAAGCCATACTTTTGACCATGGAGACCAATTTCCTCAAATCCTCCCTTCGAACAGGCACCCAAGATGGTTGACAATGAGACAGAATCAATATGAACACCTTTCCTCAACATTAGCCTGCACATTTGGAAAGCTTCTCTCACGTGACTTGTCTGAGCTAATCCACCCATCATTGTAGTAAAAGAAACCTCATTAGGATCAGGTATGTCCCTAAAAATACGGATCGCATCCCTGGCAAGCCCACACTTAGTATACATGAACAAAAGAGCATTGACAACATACATATTTCTGTCAAGACCAACCTTGACCACAAGACCATGGCTTTTCCTGCCAAATTCAGCATCTGCTAAAGAACCACATCCACTAAATATGCTGGCAAATGTAATGTGGGAGGGTTTAATTCCTTCCAACATCATTGAGTCAAAAACATCCAGCGCCTGCTCTTCAAATCCAGTTCTTACCATTGTACTAATAATAGTGTTCCATGACACAGTGTTCCTTTCGGGCATTTGTAGAAACAATCTATAAGCATCCCGCAAATTGTTCTGTCTACAATAAGCACCCAAGATGGCATTCCAGGAATATATATTTCTTTGAGGTGTATTACAAAACACTCGATAGGCAACACTAACATCATTACACTTGGAATACAATTCGATTAGGTTGTTGGAGAGAAAGGTGACAGAAGAAAGGGATAATCGGAAGATTTGTGCATGAAGAACCTTACCAGCTAGGAGAGCTTTCTTGCTAATACACAGCTGAAGAAGATGTGCCAAATTGGGAATATTTGTTTCCATGGAATCCCAGCAAAAACTACAAGTTTGAATTACAAGCATGGGTGTTAGCATAATGCTCAAAATGGATGAAATTCTACATCTTAAAAAATTTGGTGGAAGTAACCTTGAAATTCTCCAATTATTTTTTTTTATAAAAAAGAAACTCAACAGGCATTTGCAAATTGTTTTTCCATTGACCAGCACATAATCATCCACTTCTCTTCGCCTCTGCTTGATATGATTCATGTGTTAGGATTTCTAGTCATCAAAGTTACTAGTGGAGCAATAATTCAATCGGATTACCAAGGAATTTCCAGTACCTAAAAAGTTACCAAACAAAAATAAAACCAAGCCCCCTTTGGCTGAAAGGACAACTGCGCTGTGATGTGGTGGTACAAAATGGTCACCCCAAGACATCAGTTCTTTCTAGTTTGTTTTAGTGTTTACATTGTTCAGCCAAGTTCCAATTTTTTCCCCTGCGCAGCTGAAATTTTTCTACTGTTCACACTGCAATCTTTTAAGTGAACTCTTCCATTTTAGTTAATATGGATTATAGACAAGATGGACTTGAATAGATCATACACATTAATATTTACATGGATATTAACACGAGTTGTCTTTTTTCAATGCCTATTAGTGTTGTAAATCTTTCCAAGCTACTGAGTCCATTAAGCGGGTCATTTCATCAGCCTTTTGCTTATGGAAAGATTCCAACTAATGAACAAGCTTTAATGGCTCATGCAGCGTTTAGGATACGGTTACCGGACATCGAAATGAGAGTAAAAAAACAACAATAATAACAATTGAAGCGATTCCTTGTGATTCAGCTCAGTCCATTTAGACAGAGAGACACACAGAACTGCGTATATTGGACTTCAGCTCAAAATTAGAGGAATAGTTTCAGATTTTCAATATTGAATAGTACAAGCACTAACCTTATAGAACAAACATTTGAAAAACTTCCTCCCAGCACTCAGTCCTTGAAGTGAGAATCACGAAGTTCGGTGTTGCAGCAAATCTTGCACCAACTTAGCGCAACCGATAGCTGTTCAGTAAAAGGGGGATTGCTCCGATTTGTGTGGGTTGCAATTTAGGTATTTCAATTCCTCCGTTTCGGTGGCTTGCAGCATTATTCTTCTTCACTATCCAAAGTTCCGAGCTTCACGGTTGCTTTTCTTCAGCTTCTTGTTCTTCCTTCTTTTTTTTTTTACTTTTTTTTCTGTGGGCTTTTTTTTTCCTTTTAGGACAACCTCCTTCATTTTTATTTTCAGGATTTTGGGCATGGCCCAAAAAGGGACTTTGGGCGAAAAGAATCCAAAAAAAGGAATCCGATTTCCAGCCAGAATCACAAGATTAATAAAACACACTAAATTGATTTTTTATTTTTGAGCTGAACGTACTAAATTGAATATTAAACCCCAACAAGTTCAAAATATGGATATTATTTTAATGAAATTGAGCGATTGAAATGGAGACTATTTTAATTTTTCTACAGCCTGATGATTATTTTTTTAAATCATTATTTTGGTTCTCAAAAAATAATCATAATATGTTAATTTCTTAATATCTTAATGGTCCTTAAATATGATATTCGCCAATTTCATCATTTCTGCTGCCATTTCTTTACCTAAAAATAAATAACCATGTATTAGCTCCAGTTCTAAATATAAGAACTAGTTGACTAATTTGAGTAGATTAGAAAAATAAGTTAAATTAGTTATTTGTAATGAATAAGTATTGTTTTTTTCTCAAATATTCTTACTATTATTGACTAGAATTATCATTATTAAAAGGATTATCTTTGAAAAAATAAATAATATGAGAGACAAAATGGATTAGAATCTTATATTTGGACCAAAATAAAAGTTAAATAATATTTTATATTAAGGACCGGAAGTAGTATATAATAAAAACAAATGTTTGCATCCCAAACAGAATAATATATAATGAACGAAGGTAATATGCATCAATATTTCATAATTTTCATCCAAAATAAACACACTTATTCGTTAAAGTGCAAATTTGCCCCGAAAATTTTTATTCAGGAGCGTTGAGCACCTATAAGTTTTTTTAGATACAAATTTACGTCAAATGTTTAATATCGTAGCAATATTATCCTATCATTAAAATAGTGATGTTAACCATTAATATTTTTTACGGTAAAGGGCAACATTATTGTAATTTTAAAGTTTTAGTATTATATTTTTACTTCAAAAAACTTTTGGGTACTCAATACTTCTGAGTGAAAACTTCATTTTAACTTTCATAATTTACACAAGGAATCGAAGAGAAATTTATGACGTTTGAATATATGCATATACATATTTTATAAATATTTCTTGCATTTTTTTTACTGATGCTGATTTTATACACACGCATATCTAAATTGCATTTTAAAAATATGAATTAAAATTTAATTAAGAAAAATAATGTGATCGATTTGACTGGTATTGACCAAATTGGCTGGTTGGATAATCAAAACACTGAAACAAATCATCACATTTATTTTTGTTGCTTTATTTTCTTTGAATAAATAAACAATTACATAAGTATGAAGATTTTCTTTTATTCTGGCCAATATAATGTAGTTTCACCTTCATAAGATTTTCAAATCGAAATGTTCACAATTTTTCGGTCCATTGATACGGAGAAGGGTGAAATTGGATACTGATGGATCTATGAATCATGTTAGCTTTAGTAAATCACCTTGAAGTTTTAATAAAGTTTTCAATCAGGGCTTGTATTAAAAAAAAAAATTCAATCAAGGCCTCAATAGTCCTATGAATTTTATATTAAAAAATAATTTATAATTTAATTGCTAACTACATATTGTAATTGTGCAATTTTAACTTTGATTTTATTTCTCATGTACAAATTTTAACCTTAATCTAATTTCTTAAGTGCAATACCCCTTAAGGTTAAAATTGCACGAAAAAAAAAAGATGGGATAAAATTACACCCCTAAAAAAATCATGGGTAAAATTACACATGAGAAATAAAATTAGGATTAAAATTACGCCTATACCCTATGTTAAATGCTCTATTACTGGCATTATATATATAGTGATTATACTGCTCCATTCTTGGCACAAGTGTATTTTCTAATTATAAAATTAACAAGTTTTATTGTCTGCTTGCATAGATTTATGTCAAGTAAAAGCATAAATGATGAAGTCCAACACAACCACACAAGTTTATGTTCCATTTGCATACAAATTACCATGACAAAGTTGGCACAGCTCCACTGATTATTCAGAATGCTTCTCATCACTGAAAGACTCATGGAAACAAGTTCAATAGAAGTATACATATAGACTTGATCCATAGCCAATAGGTTTTGGCTCCTAAAAGTTTAAGGTAAATCCCTTGCAAAATACAAATGTGATCTGAATCCTCTAACTCAGATATAGGATGGTTTCTTTTTCTGATTTGAAAGTCCAAACCATCAAAATCTGACAAGGAAGGTCCAAACCATATATGCACTAAATAGAGGATGTGCAAGAGATTTTGATCCAAGTTTTTAGTCAGAGAGACTGCCTACAGAATAAGCTACAGGTCTTCCAGTACCTAAAAGAGAGGAACTTCTTCTGGCACCTTCGGGTGAAATCAGTAAGTGGAAGACCCAACTGAGAATGTTGGGAGTGAACACTCGGAATAGTGCAAAAACATCGTACCAACTTGGATACTTCACATACGTGTCGCCTCGACATGCCCCTGATACGATCAATCTCGCGAACTCCTGAACAGATCCACCACTCACATGCACCTGCAACAATTAATTAGCAACAATAATATGATGCATGACTTGTTCATGAACGAGTCCAAGTCTTAGGATGCCAAAAATTATGTACCAATGTATAAAAACAAATAGCAAACATGAAATTAAGGAACTCACTTCTCTTTCTTCCTTCCACTGCATATCTGCACCATCCTCCATCATGAACTTGCCACTTGTCATTTCACTTCCAATCCAACCATGTGTTGCTATGGTAACTCCAACCTCATTTTTCAGTTCAAATCTTAGTGTCTCATAGAAGTTCACTAATGCAGCCTTTGCAGCCTACCATGTACACAATCAGAACCCAGGTAAAGTCTCTTTCACTCAATAGAAAACAAGCCTATAGACAAACTCTTAACTAGTGTTTAATTTGACTCTTATCAGTTATCACTTCAGCAAAATTACAAGCTAATGTGTAAAATTCTCTCTGTCTATAAATTAGCAGGATAACTCTTAAAGATAGTGACTCTAGTATGACTTGAAACATGCTTTCACAAATGTTTCCAGCAATTTTACCATTGTTCCTATTTTGGACTAATTACTCTCTTTTTTGTGTGTATTCAGTTGAGGTTGGTGATTTCGACTTGTTCATGTAGATGTCTTGTTAAAGTTTGTAAAACTCTAAGATGAGAATGTTAAAATAGATATGTGATCATATAAAAAAAGATAAGATTCGTCATGAACATACATGCAGAAAAGTTAAGTGATTGCTATTGATGAGAAAATAGTAGAAAATCATTTGAAATGATTTGATCATGTACAGATAAGGCCTTTGGATGTGTCGGTAAGAAGAGTTGATCAAACACTATAGAGTCCTCTAAAAAAGAGTAGAAAAAAGCTAAAGAAACCACTTAATGAAGTTATTTAGTGAGATCTTTTAATTAATAATATATTCAAAGATTTGGCTTTAGATAGAGCTTAATAGAGTTGTGTGATTCATTTAACCAACCCCACTTAGTGGAATGAAGTTTTGTTGTTGTTATCTATAAAACTCTGGACAATAAGACCCAACTATATATATGCATGTGTGTGTATATATATATCAAGCCACCGAGCCAATTCAAGTTTCCTTTGATACAGCCAAAGGTCAACTTTTGGAACTAATTCTTAATGTAGTAAGAAAGAAAGAATGTTAACTATGTGAGTTAACTGATAATTACTTACAGCATACAAGCTCATCCTTGGCAGAGGCAACCAGTTTTCTACCGATGCGTTGATAATAACACGGCCATGGCTCTGATGAAGGTAAGGGAGAGCCACAAATGTTGGGTAAACATTACCCCAGAAATTAATGTCCTGATAATTAATAATGAACATGTTTATTAGAATGCATTATATATCATTGCATAAATTATGAGATTTAGTATATCCCATGATTTTTTTTTTTAAATTTAAGGGGAAACAAATTCTGCAAACTAGTGCACATTGAAATTCTTACCAGAAGAAGCGGGAAAACCGATGTGTCTGCAGCTTCTTCAAAGTAAAATGTATGTCCCAGACTTACTGTATTCACCAGATGATCCACTGCAATAATAAAGCACAAACAAGATGGTTCGCTATAACAAGATTATATTCTAGTCTTGATTATTACTACTGTTAATGCTGAATAGTTTTCAAAGTTATCAAGTTCTGTCTCTATTTAAGGCAAGAATAATCCAAATATCATGGCCCTTGAACTTTATATATTTAAGAATATTCCCTCAACTTTGAGAGCCAAAAACAAATTTACGGTGCTATAAGTATTTGTGCACATTAACCATACTATCTCCGATTGTTAATATAAGAACTAATTTGACATTCAATTTAGTCTTAAATATAAGACCCCAATCTATTTAATCTCTCATATTTATCTATTTTTTTTACAGAGGAGTTTTTTATACTCGTTACACATATTAAATGTTTCATTAAATAGTAGTTCTAGTTAATACATATGATTAGCAAAGGTTTGCTACGAAAGATAATACTTATTTATTGTAAATAACTAACTTAACAAACTTCTGTAATTTACTCAAATTAGTTAATTAATTTTATATTAAGAACTGGGATAGTATTACACATACCGCGACCGAAAATGCTTATGGTTTCATTGACAAATCTCTTGCATTCATCTTCCTTGACTACATCTGCAGCCATAATTATGACATGACTTGCACCTATTAGTCTCGCATTCTCTGCAATCCATCGCAGCCGTTGTTCTCGGCGTGCCACCAACACTAAATTTGCTCTCCTCTTTGCATATTCATATGCAATTTGCTGCCATTCATATATGTATAATAATCCAGCACGTTAACAAAACAATTATATTGAAAATACAAACAATATGGAGAATCATATGATATCAGAATTAAAAGAAAGCAGGTTATATATTCCTGGGAGTAAATTCTGCTTGATTTGCTCTTCTCTTTGCTTATTCATACACAATTCACTGTCATTTTTCAATCCCATAGTTTCCTAATTAAAACAAACAGAAAATGGAAAATCATATAAAGAAAACACATTCCATAAGTAAAGTCAGCTAATTAATTTTTGCTTCATTTGCTCTCCCCTTTGCATATTAATATATACAATTTGGTTCGATTTCAAATTGTGTATGAAGAGGAATCAAATCAACCCTTTTTCTTTGGTAAAAAAATACATGATGCTCCTTTGGTCCTAAATATAAAACCCTTATACCACACTAGTATAAGATTTTATATTTAAAACCGGTGTGTATAAGAGTCTTATATTTAATAATAGAGGAGTATAGTAAGTCTTCTCATTCTCCCTGCGTTTTGCTTCACTAAATCTTCTTCCTTTTAGTGCTGATCTATTTCTTCCAAAACCAGTACAGAAGTTGATAACTTTAAATAAAACATACTTTGGAAATTCTTACCAGAATTAAATCCAAGAATAAGGTCTCTACTTGATTCATCTAAACATTTTGTGCATATGCACACAGTATCATAAATAACTTAATGTATAATGATTCTAGAGTTCTAATTAATACGGAATAATCTAAGTCCCAATTGCTCAATTTTGAAAAACTCAAATATGGTTTGGCTCCGAAAACGATGAATGGAACAGATGATGATTCAAGAGGTCGAACTTGCCTCTCCGATGCCAGAAGAAGCACCAGTGATAATGACGACCTTATCGTCCATATCCTCACCATTAAAGCTGCGATAAAGCCACTCACAGGTGTTGATAAAGCACAGTGCCGGCCATGAGAAGGCCAGCATGGCCATACTCGCCGGAGGAACCACCAAGTTCAGCACAGAGTTCATCAAGTAGTCCATGGCTGCTCTGAGAGATAGAATGTTACAGATATGCTTGAGAATAATGATATGTGTGGGAGAAGGAGGAGGAAGAGGAAAGACAAGTTGAAGATTGATTAGAAGTAGTAGAGAGAGAGAGAGAGAGAGAACACGTGGTGGGGGAGAAGAGTGAGGTGGTGAAGAAAGAAGGAGTGTTCAGTGTTTTGGATTTTTCATGCATGAAGTTGGAGTCTCCTGAAATTGCCGCTCCACGCACCTGACACCTGTTCCCTCAAACTGACATTTCATTAGACTTAAGAGTCTAGACACATGGGTCGGGTCGGGGTTTTTGGTAATTTCGGGGGCCCCAAGTTTTGTTAGCTTGTTCATTTTAATGTTAAATACAAAGGTGAATATAATTTTTGGTACGAACTTACTTGATTTTTTATTTTTGGTTTCTTAAATTTTTAAACTTATAGTTTTAGTTATTAAAATTTAATATTTTATCTAGAAGTATAATGGTACTGAAGTCTCGTAAAAGACGTTAAAGTAATGACATGATTCATTGGATGATATCTAATTTGATTTTGTATGATATATAAGGGGAAAAAAGTCTTCAAAATGCAGTTGTTTAGCCCTTTTCCCATGCTCTTCGTTTGAAATTTATTTACTACATTGCATTTTGAGATCTTCTTCTATCCTTTTTTATATCACACTTTAATAGATTTGAACCCTATTATATTTTTAAGGACTAACGTCTTAAAACGAATTAAATTTAGGAGTTACAACCATAAGTTTGAAATTTATAGGACTAAAATTAAAATGAGAACAAAAATTATATGAACCATAAAATATAAAAATTATATTAAAGATTAAAATTTAAATATGATCTGTAGACATTTAATTACAAAATTAATATTAAATTCATTGAATTAACATTTTTATTAAATGAAATTAACGGTATTACTAAAGACTAAAATACATTTTATATTACCAGATTAATAATTTATACATGTATATACATGGGCTTGGGTCCTCATACTTTTTAACGTAATTTGTAATATCTCAACTTTCCAAATTTTTTAATGATTATATTCCATATAAAATTAGTAATATTTTGATATTTTTAGGGGAAAAAAAGGATATAGTTTTAA